AAAAAAATCCATCTGATTCTTCGATGGAACGTTCAATAGGATAAATCGATACAAAAAAGGTTCAATAGTGACAGCCCTAATCCAATTACTCACCATTTAAAAGTCACTTTTAGATTAATCTGACATTGTGTGCTGGGTAACATACGACTATATACATTTTTTTTTTTTATTTAGCTAATTCATTGCAAGTCAGGGTGGTCAAAAGTGCTACGTTGAAAGTGAAGAAAGCACTGGTTATGTGTTTGCCCCGCTTTAATGTCTCCTCATTTGTTTGGCAGGCTGTGAAGATGACAAGCTCTCATACCCAGCTTCCTTATGAATACTACTCTCTGCCGTATTGTAAGCCTAACTCCGTTGTCTACAAAGGAGAGAACCTAGGTAAGAGCGGTGGCCTCCCTACACTTGAGTAAGCTTGCGTTTGTGTTGCAACTCTCCCAAATTATTTCTCTTTTGCAGGCGAGGTGTTGCGCGGGGACCGTATTGTAAACACGCCCTTCAATGTGCAAATGAACAAGGACAAGAAGTGTGAGATAGTGTGCAACAAGAAAAAACTCAGCAAAGAAGAGAGCAAGTTGTTTGCCGAGAGAATACAGGAGGAGTATTACGTTCATCTGTGAGCATTTCTTATCCATTCCCTGTGTTAACAGGATGACGACACGCCATTGCATTACAATAACTCCATGTTGATTTGAAACACATTTTCTGCAATACGCCCAACCGATTTGCAGCATCTGGACATGATGTTAGTAGTGTTTGACATAATCTGAGGACTTGAAGATGTTTTCCACTGCTCAAACCAAACCCCAACGCCATTCTCTACTCATTTAGAATTGCAGATAATCTGCCAGTAGCCACCAGGTTGGAGGTGTATCTCAATAGAGAAGCGGGAGCAGAAGAAGAGCTTAAGAAAGACATGAAAGATGTCCAGTTTGAACATGGCTACCGGTTGGGCTTTGTGGACAACAACAAGGTAGGTAATAGCTGCTTTTCGGATTGCCGAGCACTGTTGTTCAGTACGGTTTGGCTTATTTGAACTTGTTTCGTTTAGAATATTGTGGTTAGTTATTGAATTTCTCTGGGATTTTATTGATTAATGCATGCATTTCTTCCTGCTAAAATGGCAACAATTGTGCAGGTTGTTCCAGTTCTGTTTTATTTTGATATAGTACTGTACTGTGCACTTTGCACATGAAAACAGTCAATTCTGGGTAGTTGCCGTATGAAAGTAAACTTCTCAAGCAGCCTTCTAAAATTTGAGAGTTGAGAATCAAATGTCTTTGAATATTGTGGTTTAAGACAAGCCTCCCCACCCCCAAATATGATAATGGCAGTTATTTTGGTTTTGACATGAGCATCTTACAATCCTGTGTGCCTTTTCTCCCCTCCCTCACAGTATTATCTGCACAACCACCTTTCCTTCATCCTGTACTTCCACAAGGAGAAGCTCGAAGAAGGGGAGCAGCACAACTACAGAGTGGTGCGATTTGAGGTCGTACCGCAAAGTGTAAAAGTCGAAGGTAGTTGTCAGCACTTCTCGATGCACTGATATGTCTGAATCCACATGAGAACCTGGCCTGTATTCGCAGATCTGATGGCTGTGCAAAAAGAGAAGACTTGCACTTTGCCAGACGCCAGCAGCTCTGCTGCGCTGGAGATTGACCCCACCAAGGAGAATGAGGTCCTCTTCACGTATTCTGTGCACTGGGAGGTCAGTGACTGTTGTGAGTTTTCTTGAAAACGGAACACATTTGTTGAAAGTTTTCAGATCTGATCTACCACTGCAACTGACCCAGTACTTTTTTTTTCACACAATTAGACCTCAGCCTGAAGAATTGATGCTTTTTGGGGGGGGATCTTGTTTTTTTTTGGTGGGGGGCTCTTGACTATGACTAAGAATGATTAAAAAAATGACATCAAAGTATAATTTCTTAACTAAAAAGTGTTCAATACAAAATATTTTTTAAAAAAATGTATTTTGTGTGTTTTTATCCCCCAAAAGGTAGTATCATATCATATGGCAGGTTTTATAATATTTTTCAGTCAATTTCAGAAAATGGCATTGGTTTAAGAGTGTAGTTTGACCAGTTGCACCGTGCAAGATTGTGCTCGCTGACTCTCCTTTGCAAGCTATCTCTCAATTTAATTAAATGCCATTGACACTCTCCAAACTCTATACTACAAACTATAATATCTTTGTCCCAACCGAACTGACCACAACGCTAAAAAAACACACCATTTGAATGGTGCTGAGAGGTTTCAATTGCTGTCAAATCTCTGGGCGACAGCGGAAGCACTTCCTGAAGCAGTCATGTCCTACAAACGCCAGCGAGACTTCAGGTGTCATCTCTTTTGGCCCCTCCTTTCAAACCAAGCAAGGTCCAATACACACTTTTCAGCAGTGTCCCCTTAATTACTCAAAACATGCATCAGAGCCTCGGTGCTTCTCGCAACATCACTAATACCATGAAAGATATTGAAACTACAGTCATTTAGAAAATCAGTAACGGTTGCAACGATAAGAACTTAAACCGAGAATATGCTAATGTGCTGACTAAAGTCCTGAATAACCGTGAAGGAAACTCCTCGTTACTTTTACCCATGTGTCATTCAAGTGCGCTCATGTGTGTATATGCTTTGTGTCTCTGCTACTGTCGAACCACAATAACATTTCCAGAAATTTACAGTTGACTAACGACCATCAAAGAGATGGTTGATTTTTTTTTTTTTTTTTCAAAAGCCGATCCATCATTGTTTGTGCACACACATGGCCTGACAAGGTTCTAAATTTGTTTGCAGAGTACAAACACCATGATGAATCACAGATTTGTGTCTGTGTGATTTGAGCACAATTTGTGTATACGCATAGTTAGTGAATGAGGCCCATTGAAAGGGCGGTACAATAGTAATCAATTAAGTAGTCAAGTCCTGTCTAAAGTCTAGCAGTGCTCAGCACTCGGATGAAATTTCTCCCAATATTTAGCAGAAAAAGCGTTTACTGTTTCCCCGTGACAACATCCTTGATGGATTGCACACAGCTGTTTTCGGCTTCATAATACCGAAAAGAAGCAATTTTAACGGGACAAGTGTTGAATTGACGACCAGCTCATGGAGGCTGCCATGATTTGGGTGCTTTGCGCAATTCAATTGTCTGGAGAACTTTTCAAGTCAAGTACAACTTTATTGTCAAATGTGCCGTATGTTGCACAAACAGCACAGATTGGAGTACCCTGCTAGTTTACACTTGAATAGCACAGGATATGGGTGGCCCACTGATGAGTGGAATGAAACTAAACGATCCACGTTATAGTTGATGGTCTAAATATATTTGCTGTGGTGAGACATCATTTGGTTTTTAGAGCTGTATGTCGATGTACAAACCAATAAACGACACTCGACCCCCAAACTGCTTACGAGTAATGGCACTCCAGTTCGGACTTTTTGAGAGCAAGTTAATAGATAATTACTGTTGAGCCACATAATAAATACAAAAAAAATAAATCTTAACTTTCCCAGGTTACATTAAGATAAATAAATATGTAGATAATAAGGACATCCGTGTGTCTTGTAACCTGTGCAGGAGAGTGAGGTGAAATGGGCTTCTCGATGGGACACGTACCTGACCATGAGCGACGTGCAGATTCACTGGTTCTCGATTGTCAACTCTGTGGTGGTTGTCTTCTTTCTCTCTGGTATGGTTGTCATCAAATATATGCTTTGCATCAGCAGCTCCATTGTAGAAATCATTGTGCATCTCAGGTCATAAATGCACATATACCGTATTTCCCGCACCATTAGCGGCTTTGGAATATAAGGCGCACTTTCAATGAATGGCCTATTTTAAAACAGTCTTCATACCTAGGGTGCACTGCATTATAAGGCGTATAGAATAGAAGCTGCAATAGTGGCTGCGGTTGCATTATGTGTCCACTAGATGGAGATATGCTAAAGGAATACAATACAATACAGCTTCATTAATTTAGAGCTTTCACAACCGCTGCAGCTGAAACGATGCGCTTCATAGAACGTTTAAAATACTACGTCCAAGAAATCTGAATATTGATCCGTATATAAGGCATATCGGATTATAAGGCGCACTGTAAGCTTTTGAGAAAATTGAATGCTTTTAGTGCGCCTTATAGTGCGGAAAATACGATACAATGGACAACATTTGTTTTTGTGGGTTAGTACAATACTTTTGCCTTATTCCTAGTGAAAATGATGAAAGTTCTTTTTCTTTCCTTCAGAAATCACCTCGCTCAAGTGCTTTAAATTTTATGTCTTTACCCTTTCAGGTATCTTGAGTATGATCATCATCAGAACCTTAAGGAAGGACATTGCGAATTACAACCGAGAGGATGATATCGTAAGTCTCTGGGGAACTGTGATTGTTCAGCTTGCTCGACCAGGATGCTGTAGCCATGTGACTGTTTTTCCCCTGCCTCGCACAAATCAGGAAGACACAATGGAGGAGTCAGGATGGAAGAATGTTCATGGTGATGTCTTCAGGCCACCTCAGTATCCCATGATTCTCAGCTCACTTCTGGGTTCAGGGATCCAACTCTTTTGCATGATCCTTATCGTCATCTGTAAGTGTTGACTTCATTATCGGTAATCCGACCCTTTAGGAAATGTCAGCATCAGTTCTGTTGTGATAGGTACATATGTTACGTAACTTTGTTTGGGATAGCTGGCAAACATTCCTCGTTTTTAAATGAAACCCTTCTTTGCATAAAAAATTATTGATAATGTTAAATAGTTTTGCCATTTACACAAGAAATATTCTTGAGTAACGTTTGATTGTTTCTCCACTGTGCCGTGTAGTTGTTGCCATGTTGGGCATGTTGTCTCCTTCGAGTAGAGGAGCTTTGATGACCACTGCGTGCTTCCTCTTCATGTTTATGGGGTGAGAACCGTTGATTCGTGAATCCTCAACATGATGATGCCGAGAAACAGGTTGTCGTTTTGAAGTGTTTTTTTTGTTTTTTCCCCCCTGTAGTGTATTCGGCGGCTACTTCGCCGGAAGACTATACCGCACACTGAAAGGCCACCGGTGGAGGAAAGGAGCCTTTTGTGTGAGTGTCTGAAGATGAGAGCCACTTAACCTTTTTGAACTTGGGTGCCAACTTTACCAGGACAAAGTGTCATGTGTCCAATTTCTATATTGAGATTTTATAGAGTTATATGAAAAAAGACCTCTGGTTGTGTTATCCAATGCTGATGGCCTTATATCTGTCCGGATGATGCCTGAAACAAAACAGGAAAAAAAGGAAATATACAGGGGCTTTTGGGACACTAATTGGGACTAATTTGTAAACTCTTAGTTTTTTGGACCTCTGAGAAGATTTGTGTTCTCTCCCGTAGACGGCAACTTTGTATCCAGCTGTGGTGTTTGGAATCTGCTTCATCCTCAATTGTTTCATCTGGGGAGAGCACTCCTCTGGGGCGGTGAGTAGGCCAAAGATCTGCATAATCCGATAATACTGAATTGTTAGCATCGCTTTTAAAAATGCCAGATATTATTGACAGTGGGTTTATATGACATGAAAACAAAACGACCAATCGCACCTTGATTGTGCTTTAATTCAGGTGCCCTTCACGACCATGCTGGCTCTGCTGTGTATGTGGTTTGGGATCTCCATGCCCCTGGTCTACCTGGGCTACTACTTTGGCTTCCGCAAGCAGCCGTATGACAACCCCGTGCGCACCAACCAGATCCCTCGGCAGGTCCCGGAGCAGCGCTGGTACATGAATAAGTTTGTGGGGTAGGTGTTGAACAACTCCCAAAAAATCTATTTGGCCTTTTAGATGGCTGATTAGAGGCCTATTTGTTTACCATGCACTTTTTTTTTGTTTGTGTCTTCCTCTTTCATTAGAATCCTGATGGCTGGGATCTTGCCATTTGGTGCCATGTTCATTGAGCTCTTCTTCATTTTCAGTGTGAGTGTGATGATTATGACACATTGAAAAGCAGTCTTCTGTTATGTACATTTTTGTGTGTTTATTCGCCTCTACCGACAGTAGGTATATTACCGGTTGCAAAGTGCCCTCTTGCAATAATATACATTCATGCCCATGTGTACTTTGATCTCTTTAGGCCATCTGGGAGAATCAGTTTTATTATCTCTTTGGCTTCCTGTTTCTGGTCTTCATCATATTGGTGGTCTCCTGCTCTCAGATCAGCATTGTCATGGTTTATTTCCAACTGTGTGCGGAGGTATGGATATTTGTTCTTTCTTTTTGTGTTAACATCTGTCCAATATTTTATACGAAACATTATTTCAAATATATTGTATAGCATATGTTTCATTTTTTCAAAACCTTTTATACAGATACTGTTATATTTAACCAGCAGCCACCGAGTGACCCCTCCTGTTTTTTTGTTTTTTGATTTTTTTTTTTTTTTTCCTTGTGTTGTTATAAAAATATTCAGCTTTTGGTGAAATTTCAGCATTCATTTTTTTCAGGATTAGTTTGTTTTCTTCATCGTCTTTGAATCGCCAAAGGGCGGATTTTGTTGTTGCCGTAACCTGCTTTAACCTGATGTGTTTTGTATTTCTCCCAACGTTACACAAAGGATTACCGGTGGTGGTGGAGAACGTTCCTGGTTTCAGGAGGGTCAGCGTTCTATGTCCTTGTGTACGCCGTCTTCTACTTTGTCAACAAGGTAGAAGTTCACACTGTTATCAAGGGGCTCAACTGCTCCGGTGTTTGAATATATCCGTTGGAACGCTGGTGTGTGCAATTTGGATGTTCTCCCTGTTCACAAATTTGTCCATATGTGAAAATGTGAATGCCTGTTTGTCTACATGTGCATTGCGTTTGATTGGCAAACAGTCCAAGGGTCGTACCCAAAGCTCACTTCTTTCACAGTATGCTGAGCAAGTGCCAGATGGTGGAATAGACTCATATTTTCTGGACTTTAAGATGTTTAGAATGTAAGAGTTGAACTCCCTTTATCCATGCGAGCATACAATCAATGGGCTTATCGTGTTCAGGGTCGTGGCGAGCTGAAGCCAAAAGGCAGACTTCACCCTGGATTGGTCGCCAGCCAATCACAGGGCACATAGACAAACAACAATTCACACTCGAGTTCACATGGTCTGAGTGAGAACTAAATGCGCACCACTCTGGAACTCCCATCATGTGTGAGGGAAATTGAGATTCTGGGTGTTTTTTTGTCTCCCCCAGCTCAGAATTCGTTTTTTGAGTGGAACCTGACCGATATGTCATTTTTGGGGGCTCAAATAAGCCGTCAGATATATCAAATTAGAAATCAAATTGGTATACACGTTTTATATACTGTACTGTAGATAAAATCAAGTTCTTACAGTATATTATCCAAAATGTTATTCAAGGCAAAGAAGAAAACTACCAGTCAATTAAAATCAGGAACTTGAGGTAGTCACACTGTTCACATAAGGACTGTAAGGTATAACAATACATAAGATCATGGTGGACATGGGAAGTACCTGGAACACTTGCATAAATGTGACCTTCCAGATGAGATTTAATAGTTGTAAATCACACAGATAATTGACACGAATATATGACATGCAGTTTGCTTCTTATATTACAGTTGACTGATGTTAATTTTGTGGTGATATGCTATAATCGTCGCAATTAACAGCCCACCCATTTTCCTCAATGAAATAAACCGCTCTGCTACCTACTGGAAAGAAATCGCGATGTCATCTGCCCGGATCTCCTTAAAACAAGAAGACAAACATGAGATTTAAAAAAAGAATGTGATGTGAACGCGTGTTCCCCCTTGGTTTTTCCTCCACAGCTCGACATTGTGGAGTTCATCCCGTCGCTGTTGTACTTTGGCTACACCACCCTGATGGTTCTGTCCTTCTGGCTGCTAACGGGCACAATCGGCTTCTACGCCGCCTACATGTTCATCAGGAAGATCTACGCAGCAGTTAAGATAGACTGAGTCAGTTGCTGCTATTGTGGGGGTTTTTGTTTTTGGTTACATTCACTTTTTTTTTATGCAAGTATTTTTATTGTCCAACAAGCACTGACTTGTGTGTTGGGGCAGGAAAGCAAAAGCAGTGCTTTTGTTGTTGTTTTTTGTTTTCTTTCCCCTCAGTAAAATGGCAACACCCACTGGCAGGATTGGGTAAATCGTGTCTCCTTTCTTGCCAGCTCAACTTTTTGATTTTTGTTTTGTATTTTTTGGGACGGAGACACAGGACATTTCCTCTGATGGGGACTGCTTGTGTCTTGAGCTGGTTCACCTTGCACACAACACAGTGGGCCAAACAATAGTTTTCTGCACATTGTCTTTTTTTTTTTTCTTCCCTTCTTGTGTTTTGAACCTAATTTATCCATGTTTTGAGTTCTGCTATCGCTTTTCATCTTAGAATGATGTTGTTTTTCATCCAAATATTCCCAATCTCTTCATTTCCACCTCTGTTTCGTTTGAGAGACTTTGCCAAAAGAGAGGTGGGACTGTGGTTGTGGTGCGTTTTTTGTCTTATGTTGTTGAACTGATCTACATTGTGACTACAGAATGCATACGGTATATTAAATGCTCTTCTTATTTTTTAAATCATGTTTCCATATGTTCTCTGTGTAGCCACTTCAATCACAACTGTATCACTTTTCCCCTCTAAAGCGTCCCAATGTACCAAATACGGTGGCGTGTTGCCTCGTGATTGAAACATGTTGTGAAAGCAGTTGGCCTGAGATTTATTCAAGACACCTACTAGAATGTGTTCAAGTTACAATAATACCTTTGAAACATCCCAGCTGTTAGTTGAAAAATTGTTTTTATGATCATTCAATGATAGGTACAATATTTTTATTCCAGGAGCCTTTTTTTTTTCTTCCCTGTGGTTTTGGGTTTAAATAAAGCTACACGTTTTCCGACAGCTGGCGGCTGTTAAACACCTTTTATTTGAGATCATTATCTTTCCATGTTTTGTCGATAGGGTCTGTACGTACTGTACTGATATGGGGCTTTGTTACTGGAGAGTCACGGTCAAAAACCACAATCCAGTTTCTCAAGAAATTTGCACTTTATGTACTGTTTTTTTCTTGATAAACTATACGTCATCTGTAATTTAGCAGTCAACCTGTCAAGATTTGGGCAAATCTTGCGAGGTTACACCTGCAGCAGTAATCACTGACCTTAGTGAACCTGCGAACTACTCCTAATGTATTGATTATTGCAAAGGGCTACTGGAATAAGAAGTTTGACCAAATAATTAAATGAAGAAATCACAAGTTTGATTCTCAAAGAGCGAAGTATTTTTTTAGGTGGTACTTGGAGTAAAAAGTTGGACGACTTCAATGAATCAATGTGAACAAGGACATGCTTTCAAACAGCAGGAGGCGCGTTGACATGGTGCAATTCTTGTCATTTATCACCAGGTGGCAGTCGAGTTCTTTAATTTTTTCGGGAAAGCCGGCAGACAGATGGTCGTCCTCTCGTGGAATTAAACCGCAATGTCCCATTTCTGTCATCACAAAATTGATGTAGCTATTGTGTTACCCTGACATATTTTAGTTAACAACCTATTTAACGGCAAATAAGCGCAGAACAGGAGCGTGGCCAGAAGGCTCAGCTCTCTGTGTGCCAATTTCTAAGTATTGCAAGATGGATGGGATTTCATTGGCTCATAAATGAAATTCAGATGATGGCAGGAAAAGGTGTCACGCTTATTAACTTTTATCTCTGATGTGACGTGTTTATTTTCACGTGTTTACAACTAGAGACGTCAACGTGGATTGAACGAAAGACAAATGTGTAAATCCTCTCTCTGCCCATTGGTTCCCACAATTGAGAGCACACATGATCTTGTCTGTTTAGTACAGTGCTAAATTTGTTTTTGCATTTGTAAAAATGTTACCTAAATATTACTTGTGCAGTCGATGAAGGCTGTAAGATGGCAAAGACAGGCTGACTCTGGAATAATTCAATTTTCTCTCCATCGATCGATCTATCGATACATGCACCCACCCATCCATCCATCAAACTTTAGCCCTTCACTTAAAACGTGCTGGAATGCATTTCAAAAAAAATCTGGTGTGATACTTAATGCTTGTCAAACTGTGCAATTCTACGAAAACAAAATACAGATTACCGTATTTTCCGCACTCATATGGCGCACCTAAAAGCGTTCAATTTTCCCAAAAGCCTCTTACAGTCTCTTTATATTCCCCAATGAGTTGTTTCCGTGTTAGTGTTCCTATCCCATCTAGTGGTGATTATTAGCAGGAACCAATTGTGATCTAAAAGAGTTCTGCCCGACAGAAAATTGACATGTGCATTCGCCAAAACACACTCAGACAGCTACTTTGTGAGCTCTGCGCAGCCAGAATGAAACGTCGATAATACCTAAAGCACAGTTAACTGCTGACTAAATGAAGGAAGAAGGAGACAAGCAAGACTTCTAAGGATATTTAGCCCCTCATGGATGCCCCTCTATATAAATTAAATTGTATTGTATTCCCTTTAGCATAACTCCAACTAGTGGATCCATAGCGCAACCGCAGCCACTAGTTTAGCTTCTGTTCTATGCGCCTTATAATGCAGTGCACCCGATATATGAAAAAAAGTTTTAAAATAGGCCATTCATTGAAGGTCTGCTTTGTAATCCGAAGTGCCTTATATAGTGCAGAAAATACAGTTGATTTTTTTTTTTCACTGTCGCATACACAATTTGTGCAGTGCTCACACAAAGTGACACAAGCTATTTGTTCAGACATGAGAGTTTGACGTTTAAACAAAGTCATTAGATGGAGGCAGCATAATGACCCTTTGGTGATGAATGGAAAGGCCCAGTGATCAATAAAAGCTCGTGATGCAAACTCCTGCTTGTCCAAAGAGGGACCCCAAAAAACAGATGGACTGAGCCTTCTGCGATGTGCGCTGACATGCTCGGCAATAAATACGCACCCGAGTCATTGTGTACTTAAACTATATCCTTGAAAAAGCCTTTTTGCCATCATTGTAAGTTGCCGCTTTGAAGCCTATTCAAATGCCTTCGCACAATCACAGCTGAGACTGGATGACCTTTTTGTCCTTGATACCAGCTGTATGTTGGTGTGCGTGCCTGCTCCTTCTCGTCTTGGTAAACATTTTACAGTGTTCGTTATAATAAGAAAAAACTGCTTCAAAGTCCCAATGAAGGCAAATGCAACTGACTTTCCTTATATGCATGCTTAAATAACGACAACAGCAGATTGGGATAAACAGTTGTGTAAATAATATTGATGGGCTGAGATGTCATCATTTAGTTTTATTGCACCCTGGTGGAAGGCTGCAGTGTCTTTGTGACAAGGACGAGTTGTGTTGATTTACTGAAGTAAAGTCTTATGGCAACACAGTCGACACAAATGAAACTATTTTGTTTCTTAAGTGTGTGCGTGTGTGCGTGTGTGCGTGTGTGTGTGTGTGTGTGTGTGTGTGTGTGTGTGTGTGTGTATATTTTTTTAAACTACAATGCTTTGTCCAAAACACAGTGGCATATCATTACATCAGTAACGTATCACGGCCCAAGTCTGTACGACAAGTTTCAAACTCAAGGCCTGGGGCCAGATTCGGCCCACCACATAATTTTATGTGGCCGGCGAAGGCAAAGTCATGCTGTAAATGTCAATTTTTTTTTTTTTTTTACGTCAAGCACCTCAAGCTGGAGATCTGTATGCAGTACACTGTTTTCTTCTGGTGCGCATTGATTTTTTTTTTTTTCAAACAGATACATCCGGCGGATTGCTAAAGTCTCATTTTACTGTTTACTGGCATGATGCCAGAGCGAATATTTGTCAAGGAAAAGACGGATATTGTGGCTTTTGCGAATTTGCGGACTTGTCTCACTCTGGCCAAATACCCAATACACACATCACTTTGTTCTGAACACTTGGTTGAAGGCAGGCGTTGATGCTTAGCAATGTTCGAGAGAGAATACATGTTACATATTGTACATACAGTACGTATCTCCATTTTCATTGTTTACGTTTTAGTTCGGTACTCTTAAGTGACACAGATTTATAAACCATCCATCTTTGGTTGACATCAGAAATGTTGGATTCTTTCCAGATCGGAACGACAGCTGGCTCTCACCATGCTACTAGCTATCTAGCCATGGCTAATGATAGGCAAAATCACTTCTGTTTTAGCTAAACTGCTCACAGTACCGGGCCCCTAAGTGAAACGGTCTTGGATTTTGACAGTGGAACTTAAAGCTAAACTGATTAGAGTAATGCAGAAAAAGCCAACAAATAAAAACAAACATGAGTCACTCTCCTGATTTTTACTTTTTTATTTCAAGCAATGCTCAGCCTCCCGATCTGGAGATCCAACCATTGTAGAGAAACAAATACTGATCATGTGATCAAAAACTACACTCAGAGGAAGCCATGACTTATTATTTTATTGCATGAGAGGCAACAGGTGGATGCAAAGGTTGTTTGTACCATCTGCCATGAACTCACTGCAAAAATATAATAGAAAAGCATTTCATTTTTCTAGTACCTAACAGAATTAAAAAACAAAAAATGAGGTTGTGAGTGTGAGAACCAGTCGGTTACAATAGAAATCTGCCCATTATTTAACATACGGAGGGTTCCACCTAATGGTTATTGAGAACTAAACCTAATTGAGTGTGCGGAGCAGATCATTTATCATCAGACAATTACCACAATGGATTGGTCTCATTTCCCCGTCATGACTTTTGCCTGAAGCAGTTCTTCTCAGGAGTTGTCACACATCAATTGTATTGATACAAACACAGACATGACTGATTTGCTTGAAATGGTGTTTTTCTGCTCGGAAAGGTTTAAATTTTTTCCATTGTAATATTCATGGTGCATATCAACAGGTTGGCCATGGTGGTGCCCGATTATTGTACTGTATATTGCACCCTTATGGTCACGCTCATATTCTAATCTTGTCCAATTTCGACCAATAAGAAGCATTTCAATTAAATGAAAGAAAATAAAGAAAATTGTATTTATCGCCCCTACCACAAAAGTGTCCATTGGGAGTCATGATTCATCGAGCCACTGTGATGCGTCAGACGAGATTACAATGACAATGAGGGTTTTTAGTCGGTAGCATACACAATGCTCACCAAATGACAAGTGGGTGGACCAGATATCCCAATTAATCCCGATGGGATATTGATGTCTGTGCTACATTTTCATAACAAGCCATTAAAAACACAGATTTCAATTCAAAGAGCAGCCGAGATAACATCCTTTGGGGTGAGAAAAGTCATTTGGCTTTGACCTTGGAGCACAAACTTTTCACTTTATGGGCATCGAACATGATTTTCTCAAATGTTTTTTCAAATTTTTTTTTTCTCTGAAGAAATAATTGAAACTCAGCAGAACCGCAAATGTCTGAAAATGACTTCAGGCTTGCTCAGGGCTCGCTCACGTAATGACCAATCACGGCTCAGCTTGTGAACGGCGCATAACCAAACCCAGAAAACAGCTGAGCCGTGCGCAACTGTGATGTCATTTTCAGTCAACCGCAAAAACAGATGGATTTTGCTGCTTAATTCATGATCCATAAACGCAATCTAAATTAATACATTCTTGACTTGACTTCCTCTTTAGGCTTACTCGTGAAAACTAAAATTTATAACAAAATAAAATAAAAATGAAATAGCTCATGGAAAAAAAAGAAAACTACCGGTAACTGAAACTTCATGTTATTGATAACACTATAATCCTCGCAAAAATGTCCTTCGTTTTTGTTTTTGTCGATTAGCGTCATACATGAGCTGTCGGGGTTCATTTTAAATGCTTTTATTTCACTTTTGATATCCATCCTTTTAGAAGAAGGAAGTCAAACAGTCGCTTGACAGTGCAAGTTTACTTAATTATGCAATACTTACTGACCTTTTTCTTTACTCTTACACTTGACAAAAAATAATACTAAAACTAATAAAAAACAAACTAAAATGATTGAAAAGAAAAACTAAAAAAAAAAAAAAAAAGTCCGGATCCTGTTCTTTTGTGTCTCCAGCAGGTGGCAGTGGGGAGGGCCTTCCCTCCAGCATGCACACCTGCTGCTTATTTGGTTATCAAGTTAGCCAAGTATTTAAGGACTGCCAAAATCCAAAATGTCTCTGTCGGATTATTGACCTTGTTTGCTGCTCATG